TATGATCCTGGGTTAGCTCCAAGGAAGAGAGTCTGGTTCCTGCAGTTGGGTGTTTTTTATGATTTTCTTTATCCAGGGCAGGAAGCTTGAGACTTTGGTGAAGACCCGTGGTGCTGATCCATCAGAGCGTCCATAGGAGACAATGCCCTGGATCCCATTTTCACACAGGAGAGGTCCCCCGGAGTCCCCCTGTGGGCAGAGAGAGGGAAGGACTGAGCCAGTTCCCCTGGCCCTGCCCTTCCTGCCATCCCAAGCCCCCTCTCAGAGAAGGCTGCTGTGCTTGGACTGCACTGGGAGATAAGTGGTTGTGCAGGCCCCTCAGCCTGTACTTTGTCACTGCTTCACTTCACTGCAGGTGGCAGCTCCCTCTGCTGCCCTAGATCCGGGATCCTGTCCCTCTGAAGGTGCTTCTATACTGTGGTTGCAGTCTCCTGGGTAAGGGCCTGAAAGCAGGCAGGTGGGGCTGACACATTGCTTGGAGGAGGAGCCCATTAACCAAGGTGGGCGTCAGCTCTGAGGAGCCACTATGTTTTAACTACTGTGCACACAGGAAACAGTTTTCTACCTGCTGTGCCTCAGCTTGGGCCAGAGTGTTGCAGATGCACCCTTCTGGAGGAGCGTCATGTTTAGATTGACTCTAGGTCCTTGAAGGCTCTTACAGGCCCTATTTCTCTCAGCTCTGGCTGCTCCCTCTTTTCTTCCCAGAGAGAAAGATCACAGCCTAGAGGGTGAAGGAGTCCACCCCTGCCTGTGTCCCCAGGTCCCAGTTCTTAACCAAACATCCCTGTCCCCAGAGCCAAGGTAGGCAGATGTCCAGTATCACCTGAAAGGAAGCCTTCTTTTCTGTCGGGTTCCCCAGGCACAGCTGAGTGTTGTTGTTGTAATAACGCTGTAAGCGACATTGGCATTCCCAATCCTCCTGCACAGTCAACTCTACTTCCTGCAGAGTGTCTGGGTATGTGCCCATGGGGGCAACCAGCCCCCAGCCAGCCACAGTGCACTTCTGTCCCGGCCTTGGCCAGTCCTTGCTGCTGGGCAGGTGGAGGGGCCTCACGGTGTTAGTTTCCTTGATGTTTCTCTCCAGCTGATGGGGAAGAGGAAAGGGAGCCTCGGTCAGCCAGGTGTCTCTGGGTCTGGACACTGAGGGGTCACCAGAGTCACAGGGACTGGTCAGGTGACCCGGATGGGAAGAAAGGAATGAACAGGTCTCAGTTGAAGGGGAAACAATGTGGACTCAGAAAGGCAAGAGGATCAGGAGGTTTCCTACCTGCAGTAACATGATGTCATTGGAGAAGTTCCTAGGATTATAGTCTGGGTGGGGGATGGTTCTTTTCACTAGGATGACCTGCTGGGTCTTCTCCTTCTTTTTGAGGTTGTGGGCCCCCAGGGTGACACTGATTGACCTGTACAGAGAACAGAGTGGGTGAGTGGGGGGAGTTAGAATCACAGGAGACGCAGCCCAGGAGATATGAAGGGCAGGTGACAGCTGGGGCAGGGCAGGGCTGCAGCTAGGGGAAATTGAGGCCACAGGAAGGCAGGGGCTGAATGACTCTACTTCTCAATGACAGAGTACAGGACTTTTTGGAGCCCTCTTTTGCCCTCAGGCAATATGATGAATCTGCTTGCATTTGCATTTTTACACTAATGCATGTGTTCATCATCCACTGCTGCTTTATTTGGCCAGAAGGTTTCTCTCTTCTCAACTGTGTAACTTGCTGTAACCACTGACCCTCTGAGCCCAAAGATTACCTGTCCTATTTCTCAGCCTCTCACTGCCCCAGTCATGATCTCAGAGGGCTCCTCTGTGAGCTCTCCTGGGCTTGGGTTGCCAGGAACCTGGGGAGCTGCCCTGGGCTGCAGCTCCTGGGATAAAGTACAGGGTCCCTGTAGGGGTCCAGGAGGTGCAGGCTGGCTGCTTGCTGCCTCTCACCTTCCATTGCAGTGAGCAGCTGTCAGGACAAAGTTCCTTCTCACAAGGACACCGCCACACCTGGACTCCTTCTCATTTTTAATGTGAAGGTAGGCCATGTAGGGGCGAGAGTGGGGCTTGGTTTCATGTCCCCCGATGATCTCCCCTGTAGGAAAAGTCCATTGTGCCTTTGTGTCCCCACTGAGTCCACCAGGCAGGCATTGACTTGATGACTCAGGGTGGCTGGCCGGGCACTTGGGAGGATGGGCTGGCCTGGGGCTGAGAGGGGTCAGGAGGGACCTCAACTTTCTCATCTGGAAAAGGGATGAGCAACAGGCTCAGTCTGTGACTTTGCCTGCCACATAATTGCAGGTGAGAATACCTGTCTTAGGGACGACAAAGGCCTAGAGGCTCCTGAAAATTCTTCTCCTGACTTCGCTTGGTTTGGGGTGACCTTCTGAGGCCCCTGTGGTGCTCAGAACAGAGCAGTGCTCTTTGCAGTGCTCAGGGCTTATGTTTAGAAATCTCAAAGTTGCAGAGCTGTTCTAGGGCCTGACGTGTGGTGTGTGCCCTGTAAGTGTTTGTTGGCTGCCTGAGGGATGGCCCCTAACGGGCCTTTGGAGGAGGGTTGGTAAGGCCAGTGCTGTAGGATTCTGGAAAACGGTCGTTTGAGGTTGCCAACCACACTGGCTCATCCTTTAAAGAGAGGAACTGCTAAAGGCCTCTGAAGAAAAGCAGAGTTGGAGAAAGGGACTGAGGGGCTTTGGAATGGAGCAAAGGCAAGAGTAGTCTTCTGGGGACAGTGACCAGACCAACTGTTTTGTCTGCTGAGCTCTGGGCTTCTCTCCTAAGCAGATCCTGAGGATATCACAGACATGGAAGCTGGGACTGCTCTGCTCCCTGCAGTTTCCCAGCCTCTCCATGCACTTCTAGGAAAGTTCCACGCTCCACATGGCCTGGGGAGGGCATTGTGCCCACTGGCTTTTCTTGAAAATAGCATTCTGCCTTGTCATTTCTGCTTGTAGCTTATCCAGCATCATGCCTGGGGTCTGAGATGGGGGCCG